GTTGAAGATCTACGGCGGATAGAGGTAAACATTATTCTTAGCTTTTTAATCTTGTCGCAATTGATGTTGTTGTGTTGATACGAGAGGGATGGGGGTTTGATTTGGGGCCTATGAGGGTTAGCCTCGCTGCCGGTTTTGATTAGGGTTTGAAGGAGGTATGGTTGTTGTTGGTTGTTACAGAGAGAACGAGAGAAGAGAGAGCAGAAGGTAACGAGAGAGAGAGAGAGAGAGAGAGAGAGAGAGAGAGAGAGAGAAATGGTGTTTAAAATGAATGAAAATGTTAAGAAAATGAAATGATATACTCCATCTGTCTTGTAACCCGCTGGGACACGTGGCCAACATCTGGACACGTGATCCCTTGTACCCCTATCGTGCACCTTCAATCATCACTGCACAATCTTGATCAAACGCTCCATAGTTGCGTGCCCACTGTAACTCCCAATGCACGCTCATACGCGGTCCAGACGGACCTCCCATCATTCAAAGATTTGGGCCAAGCCCATTGCTAAATTAACTCCCACAATTGCTTCCCCAGCCCAACGATACACCTCCACGCTAGTGGGCCAAGTCCAACATCTGAAATTGGGCCTCTGATTCCTACGCCCCATTTTTGCTACAAAGCTAATATTTCACACCCCCTGACCTTATAGACTCCAACGAAAGCTGAGCTTAGGCCTAATACTACCAGCGCCCTTAAAATCACTACGAAGTTAAAACCCACACCCCTTTTGTATAATGGGCCAAGTCCAAATTCTAGTCTTGGACCCTTAATGCCCACACCCCTCTATTTTACTATCAAGCGCTAATTTGCCCCCCCCCCCCCCCCCTGTTATTTGAGTTCAAAATTACTTTGGGCCCAAATATTTTTATGATACACACCTAGTCTCTACTTTTACACCCATATTTAACTAAATTAAACTATTTTATTAATTTTTACTTATTTACTTATCTTATTTATTTTCATTGCCACATGTACTTTTTAGCATTTGCATTAAATATATTTTTGCATAATTATTAATAAATAATTATTAAATTGTTATTAAAAATATATAATATACTTTTAATAATTAAAATAGTTATCTATTAATCAAAATTCTTTTCTAAAATACTAACTCTAATTTTCTTTTACATTAAATATTTTTCTCATGCATTAAAAATTCATTTCTCTCATGTTGCATCATATATTTGAAAACATCTAACCAATCAAATACTAATTTTTTCTACTGACATAACTCAAATATATATTTATTTTTAAAAAGGATTATGAGATTTCTTTTATCGACTGCGAACTACGTCTACAAATTCCGCTATCCACACACACAGACTTGATTCAAGGAGAATTTGAGATATTTATATAATCCATAAAAAAACTAACCAAACAACTACGAACTACGAATTGAGACTCTGATTCCTCATAAAAGATACGTAGGCATACGACTTAAAAACAGTGGTGAGTTCCCCTAACTAAAAAATTAAAACCTTATTCCTAAACCTTAAACCTAAACCCTAGTATCCTTGTAACACCTTCCCTTCGTCTAAAGTGAATCAAGAACTTAACATCTTTGTATCATTAATTAAGATTATTATGTTATATTCTCTTCTTAGGATAAAAATTAATGGTGACCACTCTATATTTTTTCTTCTGATTATTACAACGTATCTAAGGAATGAGAGAGAGAGAGAGAGAGAGAGAGAGAGAGAACAACTGATTTTCCATAATTTAAGGATCCAGGAGGGAAGATGAAAGATCATCTTGGATTTTAGTAATGTTCTTGAATGTATAGGGAGATCTAGCTTCCTATTAGGAGCCTAGCTCTGTGTCAGATCTAGGGATTGATATTCCCTCTTCTGTATTTGCCCCAATTGATCATAATTAATAAAGCTCTCATTCCTTTTTACTACTTATTTTCTTTGTTACCTATATTTGTATTTTGAGGTATGTATATTACATACAATAATTAATTTAATTTATAAAATTACTTCTTAGAAGTGTTAAATTATAAGATAACTAATTCAAGAATACCTCAAATCTTTTTTAGTATGAAGTAAAGATAGATTGATGCAAATTTCACCAAATCACTTCAGTTCCAGTTTCTATTCTCTTTGGAAATTGTATTATCTAGTTTTATTTTCTTGTATCAACCAAGAAAAAAAGACTACACAAAACCTGTTATTATGCACAATCAAAAACATTGTCACCTCTGCCACAAAATATAATGTTCAAATCATGTACAACAAATCAACAAAATGTTTGCAGGGTAATCCATATATCGGCAACACAAGTATAAATGAATAATTACATGTAGCAGTTGCCACTTGGTGCTTTTTGGATAGAGCAAGCATACATCATATATCACTGAATGAACTAGTGAATCAGATAGAATATATGTACACTATATTAAATAGTGTTTCTCCCCTGTAAGTTAGCGAATTTTTGATTTTAGTCCCTAGATCTTTTTTTTTGGGTCTAAGTCCCCATATGTCTAATTTTCTTTGGCGTTAATCCCTGCTATTAGTGAGACGATAAAAAAACACTGAGGTGGCAGACGTTAATGACTTGGCATAAGTTTTAGATTTTGTTTTATTATTTTCTTTAACACACGTGGATATATTCTTTTCCACCCAAAACATGTCATCAAAAGTCATGTTCCTCTTTGCTATGTAGTCTCAGTAAATTAGGGTTCCATATTTAGAAAGAATTTCAATCAGAGCTAACGGAAGGTGAAGGCGATTGGTACGAGCACTTGTCTGAGTGAGGCCTTTGAGATTGACGAAGCTACAATCGTGTTTGAGCGACCTCAACGAATCTTCCAGGTATGACACTTACGGTGAACATTCATTACGGGGATAAGTTTGCTAGGGACAATGTGGTATACTACTCATGTGGGAATAAATATTCAGTAGATATTGACCTTGATAGGTGGAGCTTCTATGAAGCAACTGATATTGTGAAAGAAATTTGCAATCTTGAGTCCACTAATTATTAGCTATAGTGGTATAACATTATATCAGATAAGTATGCAAGAATGGTTAGTGATATTGATGTTGTTGAGGTCTATGAAAAAGATGTTGAAATTAGTTGTAATGTGAATTTATATGTTGAGCATATGGTAGTTATAGCTGAAAATGACGTTAATGATGCTGATAATGTTAATGTTAACGCTGATAATGGTATTGTTGATATTGTTGATAATGTTGATGATATTGAAACTGATAATAATATTGAAGCTGATAATATTGATGAATCTGCAAATGTTGATGAATCTGCTAAGGTTAATGGAAATCTTGATGGTGTTGAAGGAAATGGTAGTGATGATAATGAAGATAGTGAAGATATTGATTATAATGGTTTATCATTTGAGGACAGTGAGAATGAAAGGGCCCTTGACATGGATAATGAATTTGATGTTGTAGAGAAACCACCTAAAAGTGTTAAGCAGATAGCAAGAAAACACATGACTGCTCCAACAAAGATAAGAAATGCCATGGAGGTTCATCAAGTGGGATTAGTGTTGGTAATAAAGGCCTTGAAACTAATTATTTAAGTGATGATTTTTGGAGAAGTGATTCTGATGCATCAGATGAAGAGAAAGTACTAAAATATCCTAGATTTAAGATGGAGGAATTAAACAAAGTTGATTTAGAGTTTGTATCTCTGCGTGAATTTAAGGAGGCTATAACTCAATGGTTAATATGTAAATGGAAGAGAGATAAAATTTGTAAAAAATGACAAGGTTAGAGTAGGAGTGGTTTACAAGGACAATTGTGAATTTTTTACTCTTGTTAATAAAATGGAGAATAAACACATATATAAAATAAAGAAATGGTTGGACCCTCACACATGTGGTAGGACAAACAACTCAACCTGTACCAACTGTAACAAACAACACATTCTGAAGGTAAAACTTCTACTGAACATCAACAACCTCAAGATGATCCTTCACCTGAACAACAATCATAAACACAATGTAATCTGGACCAAGAGTTTGAAATGTTTGCAACAGATTTTTGTACAGTTTTTGAAATAACACAACCTCAACCCAATGTGAATGATCTCACTTTTTAAATTCCACCTCAAGTTGCTAGTGGCCATGTTCTAACTGTTGAAGTTACACCTGTAATAACTTCACAAGGAATTTGTGACTCACAACCAAACTACATTTTATCTGCACCTGTTCAAGATGTTGAGACTACACCTAATAAATCTGTTTCTGCACCCTCTAAATCAGTTGAGTTTGTTATTTACTAATTTAATTAAGGTGTATTCTCAACTTTATTAATATTTGTATAACTCTATCTGTTTTAACTGTCTTTGTAGGCAAAACAACCCAAACAAGAGGTGGCAAGGAAGTTGAAATTGAGGAGGAGTGAAAAAACAAGAGTACTCAAATGTAAAAAACTCAAGGGAGAAGGAAGCAATCCGACACAACCATAGAAATTATAGACATTGAAATTGATTTAACATTTTTTTTGCACAACATTATTACAATTGTGTGCTTCAGCTTAAAACTTGTTTTTTATTATATATTTTGATTACAACAATTATGTATTATGTATTTTTTATTATGAATTTAGCCTTAGAGATTGAACTTTTATGTTTTAGATACAACCAAGTAATATGGCTTAAGCCTTTATGTTTATGACACAATGTGTATTCTAGATATATTATCAAGTTTGTTGTATGCACAATTGAAGTGACCTTTTACCAATTTGACTTTTATACACATTATCAAGTTTGATCTATACACAATTCAAAACATAATGAACAATATAATTTCATACATATACTATCCAAATTCAAAACATTTCTTTTCATTCATCATATGGTCAGGAACCATTTCCAAAATACATTAACGTTACAAGGACTTAAATTAAAAAACAACAGACACAAACAAATAAATTTCACCACCATTTATGATGAACAAAAAAGAACCCCCATGACCCAACCAACAAAAGCTTCAACAGAGTCGTCTTTCTCTTCTCCTTCTCCAACTTAATCTTCATCTTTGTCTTTTTGTCAATCTCAATCTACTTAACAATGAATACGAGCAGTTGCACCCACTTAAACTTCTAATATTACTAGCTGAATTTTGTTCAAGCTCATCGTCCCGAAAGAATAACTTACAACCAGACATTAACCCTAAATTTTGACACTTCCAAAATCTCCTTTGAAAGTTTTCAACAATATTATCCAGATCATCGTCTACCAACTCATCATCTTTTTTTTTTTTTTAACGTTCCATTGACAGCAGAGACTATATCCAATAAATTGAACATATGAAAACTTGGACCAAATAAAAAATCTATAGACTAAAACCAAAAACACGCTAATTTACAGAAGCGAAATCACTATTTAAGCCTTATTTAATTTATAAAATTAAATCTTAGACGTGTCACATTATCAGATAACTAACTCAAGAATACCTCAACTTTTTTAGTATAAAGTAAAGATAGATTGATGCAAATTTCACCAAATCCCTTCAGTTCCATTTTCTATTCTCTTTGGAAATTGTATCATCTCGTTTTATTTTCTTGTATCAACCAAGAAAAGAAGACTACAAAACCTGTTATTATACACAATCAACAACACTGCCGCCTCTGCCACAAAATATAATGTTCAAATCATGTACAACAAATCAGCAAAATGTTTGCAGGGTAGTCCATATATCAGCAACACAATTATAAATGAATAATTGCATGTAGCAGTGCCACTTGGTGCTTTTTGGGTAGAGCAAGCATACAACATCTATCACTGAATGAACTAGTGAATCAGATAGAATATATGTACACCGCATGCATTATAGCCATTCGAGTTCAATCTCTGGCAAGCCGGAAACAAGTAATAATCACAAGAAAAACAAAGCCTCCACCTTGTATTACTGTCTTCTTTTATGTTGGTATGCATCAGTATTGTCTTCTTTAGAAAGGCACGTGCAAAGATACAGAAGCTCCAGGGAGATAAAGACAAATATCAGACTACGGTGATTGCAACTGAGAGTGAGGGCCATCACGGACCCTTTTGGGCTTCCAGTCAGATTCTTCCTTGGTTTGTCGTAGAGCCACAAAATGTAGAGCATCACTCTGTACTTGATAGATATGACTGGCCCATGGATATGAGTCAGGTGCAGACCAAACTTTTTGATCTTCAAATTGTGTTTCCTCAACCAGAGACTCAGCAATACAATGAACAAGATCAGGTTCTGGTTCCAAATAACCAGCAACGGCAACACATCCAGGAGACACAAATCCATCTGGTGCTCGTGGGTGCCAAATTGACACCGGACTGACATAATCTTCAAAGCAATTTCTCCACACCTACAGAGTGTCAAACCATTCGTGGGTGACATGACATAAAATCTACAATCTACTCAATCATGATTAGCATTGTTTATCAGCACAAACATTTGGAACAGCATAACAGAAACACAACCGTATTATTATCATTATTGTTATTATTATTATCCGTCAATTATAGGATTTGATTGTATAGAAGTCCTATTAATATTTTCTTATTAATCTTGCAATCCTTGTATATATATCTGATGTATTGTAAGCATAATTTATTAAATAAAATATATTTTACCCTAACTATTAAAACTATATATGCAAGTCACACTAGATTATTCAGTGAAATTGATGTGGATCTATCAATTGAGGAGTAGGTTTTATCAAATAGGGAGTGAAACTTGTATGATTTAGTCGGACAGATGATAGTGTTAATGTTTTATTAGTTGCTTTCATGTCTCAACACTTAATATACAAAAACCAACGTGAAGCTTTTGTCTCTGAAACTAAAGGTCATATCGGAGTTATGAAAGTTTGCTCTATATTTGCTTTGATTATTCTTTATTTATTGTTGGAAAAAGGTAAGGTATATTCCTTTCTGAAAGGACTAATTAAACTTGATTTTCTGTCCTATAAACGTTGTGACAAAAGTAAATTGTACTCTTAACATCAAGTATAACCTTACCAGGTCGTATCCCACGGGGAGAGCAAAAAATTCATCAATCTTGCGGTAGATAGCAGCAACATTTGGAGGATGGATGCCAACATGAGCAATATCCCCAATATAAGTATACCTGAAAAGGTAATTGTTTTTACATTAAAAACATGTAAATTATAACTAGTACAAAGGCATGTCCTCGATGTAGTTATGAGGAAAATATTTTCTTTACTCATGTCAAATAGAGCCATATAATGAAAGAATATAAAGGCAGAATTTGTTAGGCTAAAAAACAACCAATTCATTACAAGAAAATATAATGAATGGAGACAAATATTTATGAAAAAGATAGAACTTTCATTAAATCTTAATCGGATCATTTAGGTCTTATCCAAATTCAATCTATTTCACTTAGATATATGTGTTATGGTTATTTGAGTTAGAAATAGAACTCAGTTCAATATTTGGAAGGGTGACTGTTAAGTGTCCCACATCGAATAATATATGGCCTAAACATGTCCTTATAAGTGGGGACAATTCTCACCCTACAAGTCGGTTTTGTTGAGATGAGTTAGACTCAACCACACGGTTTCGTCCTCAAGCAGGATGTTTTGTCACAAATCATATCCAAAGTCAACTTAGATTAGCACATGGTTTTAAATTGGAAATCAAAGTTTCTTCTTCTTTTATTTATTTATTTAGTACACCAAGAGAACTGCAACCTTCACACTTCGTAGCAGTTATCATGTTTGAGAAGTTTCAGAAAAAAATAAACTGATGAAATTTGTTATCTACCTGAATTGCTTATGTCCAGAACATTAATGATTTATATAATTTGTTTTATAAACAATTTAATTTTCTTAAACCTCTAACTTGTTTGACATGGTTTCCACCTTCACGTGGTATAAATAACATTTTATCACACAACATTAATATCTCTTCAAATAGTTAATATTTTTGGCTATCATTTAGGATTGCTTACCATATTCCTTTATAATCAATGATTTATTCACTTCTGTAATTAAGAGGGCAGTATAACTATCCGTACGAATAAAATATTTATTCTCTCTTTTACCATTCGTACCGTTCAATGCTTTGTTTCCTTCTTTGATTAAGTTTAAGAGTCTGGTTGAAGTATTAATAAGAATTAATGACGTCTTTTGCATCACAATATATCATATTATACATAAGACCTATGAAGCACAAATACTTCAAAAACTTTGCCGTATCGTATCCAGTACGCCGATACGCTCCGGTATGGCGCCGTTACGTATCGAAGGAGTACCCGAATTTATTTATTTAAAAAAAAAAAAAACAAATCTGATAAGTCACAGATACACAACATTTCAATTTTAACCGATTTTTTCTATTTTAATGACTCTTTATTCCTTTTTAATTTTTTAATGATCATTCTTTATAACCTATTTAATTCCTTCCAAAAACTTGCCATTTTCAATAATGGTTTAATTTCTTTACTACCAATTTTCAATATTTTAAATTTAATTCATATTAATTATAACTTCTTTTTTACATATCATTACTTTTATTTTTACAAGAAAATTCTAACTTCAATATTATACCTTGCAAACTCTTTCTCTTCAACGTTACTTTCTTCTTCATAATACCTTCACATTTTTCCACTAAGAAAATCTTATTACCATAATATAGTTATCACTATAATATTTTTTCAGCAATATAGTAATGTATTAAAAATTCTATTATGAGTTTGGTTTTGTTAGACTATGATTTAATGTATAATTTTTATTTTCATATATGTATCTTAAACATATCGTATCTTGTAATTTTCAATTAATAACATATCGCCGTATCGGGTATGTATCGTGTCCGATACACGTACGTGTCCGTGCTTTATTGCATAAGATGTATTTTCGGTAAGCACAAAATATAAGATGGTGCAACACTCTATCCTAAATATGTTGTCACAGATGTCCAGTCTTGCAAACTTCACATCCCAGATGCTCAATCCTAGACGTGAGAGGAGTGAGATTGAGAATTGAGATCCCACATTGGCTAGTGATATGGCTAAGTATGTGGTTATAAGGGCAGGGAAACTCCCACTTCATGATCTAGCTTTTCTCCTTCCTAGAGTTAGGTTTCAATCTCTCTCTCAATCCAAGTAACAAATTGAAATATTTGAGTAAGTAAAGTAAGTAAAGAGAAAGAAAAAAATGATAATTACCCATCAGGACACACAGGCCTCCAAATGCTACAAATTCCACCATCTTCAGGGGTCTGAAAAATAGAATTGGTTGTTATATTTGGAAAACCAACCCAGTTTTAGAATCTCATGCCCCAGTCCATACTTAAGAAATTTCAGTCGGAATGTGCAAGGGAGAATGGTAAAGCACCTGTTTTTTGCATAACGAACATCGGCCTTTGTATTCTCGTTCACTGCTCCATATCTTGATAAAAGTAATTCCATGTCTGACGAATCGCCTGTCATCAGATGCAGTGCTAGATGATGATATTTCTCTTGAACTAATAATGGCCTTATTTAAGGTGCGTGGTTCTCTACTATCCACTTCAGTCCAGGAAAAGTATACATGTCTCTGACTTGAAGGAACCTGGAAATGAGTATTTTATTAAGATTCAGTTCAACTAACTGAAATGAATCACAATATATATCACTTACTTTCAGAATCAAGCTTCTCTTGTCAGACTGATGTGCCTTCCACGTTTTACGCACTATTGAACAAATCTTTAGAGCTTGGGGTTCTCTTCCCTCAAATTCTTCCACACTACTGCATTTTATCACTCTAACAAAATTTTCAGATCTCCGGAAATGTTTTAGATGGAGGATCAAATGAGAGGGTTGAGAACTGCCTGCTTTTGCTAACTCCAATGCCATCAACTCATCCCAAGGTACATCCCACATAATTTTGCAAGGCTTTTTATCCATCTTATCAGGAGCAAGACACTAAGCAGGAAAGCCAGGTGAGTCACTTTCAAGATGAGAAACATAATACTAAACCTCCATGATTAAGTTCGTTGACTAACCTGCAGCAACATGACTCGTTTGTTGGTTACTACAACAATTCTCTGATGAGGTACAGTAAAATGTTCTTCATAATAATCTGACAATGCGAATTTTGAGGGTTCCTTGAAAATCTCAGTACAGCCAAATTGCCGACTTGCCTCTCCTAGATAAAGCACCATCTGGAACCATGCATACAAAATAGGGGACAAAAAAATATAAATAAGGTGTTTCATAAGATACCATACAGTTAATCACCAGAATGACAAACAATTTTAAAACACAAGCATTTAGAAATCTTGGTGAAACTTTTCTAGTGACTAGTGAGTGAATTTTTCCATGTGATACAAATATAATTTCATCATAAAAAAGAGAGAAAAAAAAAGCCTCATACGTATTCTTGGCTATACAAATGATTACTCGCCACAAGTAGGGATCAGAATATGGCCTACAGGGCCTATAGCCTGCCTAACTTATTTAGGCCTGACCTGGCTGGGTCTATTTAATAAAAAGGCTAGGCTTAGTCTTTATTAAAAGACTATTTAATTAAATAAGTCAGACTTAGGCTCTTAAAAAGCCTATGAAGCTTTATAGGACAGCACATATATGCATATATATTATAAACATAGACTATATAGCATTAATGTGAATAGGCAATTAAATAGACCTTCAGGTCAGATCATGCATTTAAGTAGGCCAGGCTCAGGACTTAAAGTTTTTCTTAGGCCAGGCTCAGGCCTTCTAAGGCCTGGCCTGACCTGGCTGATTTCCACCCATAGCGACTAGTCAAAGCCCCCTATCTAACTTGCAGTGGTTCTAACTGGAGGCAGGAGTTTACATTGATGGTATTTTGTCCCAACCATGTCTTGTTAAGGAAAAAAAAGTTTATTGATGTTTCAAGAGAACAATATAGTTCTATCACAGCCCATAACTGCTTCTCCTACGTATATACTAAAATGGCCTGAAAATAGTAGTCTTCATTGATCAACAACCACCACCAACAAGCTTATTTTATAACATAGGTTGGATTATCAGTAAGAACAATTCCCATAGCTCCCAAATTGGAGCTCTATACCAACTAATAGAGACTTAGTACTTTGTTAGAAGACGAGTTTCAGAGTCTGCACATCCCTATGCCCGAAGGCCCTAAGACTATTCAACTAAAAGATAATCTCCCTGATCTCTTAGGTATATGGTTGATGATCTCTTTCTGATCAAGGGCAAAAGAATTCATAACACTTTTTAGGTTATAAGATTAAATTTCAAAACATGTCTCAGAACACATCAGTCTTAGTAATGAGGTATACTTAGTTTTTCATGAAATGAACTCACAGCATAGCTGTTAAAACAATAAACTAAAATGGTTCACAAACTGAGAGATGCAATTGATGAAAATACCTGACCAATAGCTTCTCTCTCATAATACTCTCTGAGTATCCCATCAGCATGTATAGCCCGAGGATTTCTAATTCTTTGGAAGGTAGTCCTGCTGTTGAAAACCTCAAGGCACTTGGAACAGCTTGCACCAATTCCATCAACAGTCAATGAGAAAAAATCCAGTGCCCCGCTTACTGGCTGCACAATGAAACCTAAAAATGCACGGCCAAGCCCATGAGCCAACCCTAAGAGACCATTCTGTCGGGCACTTTCGACAGGCTTTCTCACCACACCAGAAACCCCAAAAGCAAATCCTTGAGCAAGAGCTTCTGTTCCTTGCATGATCCCATCCCCAACCCCAGTAATTCTCCTTGATCTAACCTGTTGCAATGCTAAAGTCATTTTGATGTACATGGATTTATATAATCAATTATGATAAAACATTTTACCTGCTTTGCACGTAGTTGTAGAAATTGTCCATCAGTGGAGAGCTCAGCAAATCCTCTGCTAAGAGAAGCCAGGGTTGAACTAGTCATACCTAGCACGTCAACTGAAAATATTAAATGCAAAGGGTTGTGAATCAAATCTCTCCAAACGCGATTTCCAATGGCAGGAACGATAGAACTTTTCCGCATGAATCTGTCTCTGTGCATTACCCTCCTCAAATGTACCTAAAATAATAGGTCGCAAAGTTAGTGTAATTAATTTACAATGTTAGTTGCAATGCTAGTCACATCATTTTACAATGTCATGTTGCAAACATTGTCGAGATGAATTATGGGTTTTTTGGATCACAAGAAAACTGTTGAAAATAATATATTTGTAATAATTGTATTCGGCCCATTAATTAGACCATTAAGTTTATATAAACAAAATAGTTAATTTGGAATTGTAGAAAAGTGTTTCTAATGTATTTTAAAAAATGATAAATTTGCACAACCTCCCTGAGTAATACTAGTTTTCTATTTTTTAATGTCTATTTTTTCATAAGGAAATTGTATCAACAATAATAAATAAATAATAATCAACACTGTTCATCAAGCTAGAGCATATAAATCACATGATGCATAAAACTTGTTGTATATATGATCATTATGAGGTCTTCGTAGAGGTTTGGTGAAGATAGATATTAGCTAACTGGTTATTAGAGCTCACTAATGTGGTTTTGATTATGCCAAAAATGATATCATCTCTAATGAATGGCAATTAACTTCTATGTATTTGTTGAATAACGAGAGAACAAGAGGAAGGTTGGATTGAATCCGTGTATATGAATTACACATCGGAATTCATTATATATAATAGGAGGCATAAATACTATAGTAATTACATAATATTCTATAATAATTACATAATATTCTATTTCCTATTTACATGATATCCTAATTACATACAGAATATTCTATTTACATAATATGGAATATTCCGATGTCTAACACTCCTCCTCAAGCTGGATCATATATGTCATATGCACCAAGCTTGTTACAAATATAATTAATTCGAGGACCTCTCAAAGGTTTAGTGAAAACATCAGCTAACTGATCATTTGAATTGACAAAACTAATGCTATCATCTCTAGATAAAATCTTCTCTATGATGAAATGACAATCAATCTCAATGTGTTTGGTTCTCACATGGAACACTGGATTTGATGCAATATGCAAAGCTGCCTGATTGTCACAAATAAGTGTCATCTGTGAAACATCCCCGAATCTCAGGTCGTGAAGCAATTGTTTAAGCCATATAAGCTCACAGGTTGTTGTTGCCATGGCTCGATATTCTGCTTCCGCACTTGACCTTGCCACTACACTTTGTTTCTTACTCTTCCAGGAAATTAAGTTACCACCCAAAAAAACACAATAACCTGAGGTGGATCTCCTATCAGAAGGAAAACCTGCCCAATCTGCATCTGAGTATCCTACAACTCGAGTGTGTCCCTTGTCTTCATAGAGTCAGCCTTTTCCTGGAGCTCCTTTAATATATTTCAAGATGCGAATCACAGCTTCCCAATGCCATTCACAAGGAGAGTTAAGAAATTGACTTACCACACTAACAGGAAATAAAATATTTGGGCGAATAACAGTGAGGTAATTCAGTTTTCCAACTAATCTTCTATATTTTCCAGGATCGGAGAGTGGCTCCCCCTGAGCTGGCATAAGTTTAACATTGGGATCCATCGGAGTGTCAACTGACTTGGAATTTAACAGTCACGTCTCCTCCAAAATATCCATAACATACTTCCTTTGTGAAATCACAATCCCCCGTTTGGATTGGGCAATCCCTATGCCCAAGAAATAACGAAGTCTGCCGAGGTCTTTTGTCTGAAAATGATGACACAGGTGTTGTTTTACCTGTGTGATTCCATGATGATCATTACCTGTAATGACAATGTCGTCCACATACACAATTAAGTAAATACACCCAACAATTGAGTGACGATAAAACACTGAATGATCAGCTTCACATCGTGTCATACCAAACTCTTGAATAACAGTGCTAAATCTCTCAAACCAAGCCCTAGGAGATTGCTTAAGTCCATACAAAGACTTATGAAGACGACAGACTAGTCCAGAAGACTCCCCCTGAGCAACAAATCCAGGAGGTTGCTCCATATAAACTTCCTTACACAAATCACCATGGAGGAATGCGTTCTTGATGTCAAGCTGGTAAAGGGGCCAGTGACGAATAGCTGTCATAGAGAGAAATAATCGAACCGAGGTCATTTTAGTCACGGGAGAGAAGGTGTCACCAAAATCTAGGCCAAACAGCTGTGTATAACCTTTGGCCACTAAACGTTCCTTGAGACGATCAACTTGTCCATCAGGCTCAACTTTGACTGTGAAAATCCACCTGCAACCTACAGCAGATTTCTCAAGAGAAAGAGGAACAAGGTCCCACGTGCCACTGTTCTGAAGAGCGCACATCTCATTAAGCATAGCTTGTTTCCAGCCAGGGCGAGATAAAGCATCACCTACAGTCTTGGGAATAGACACAGAAGACAAAGAGGAAATACAAGCATAATACAAAGAAGACAAGCGATGATAAGACAAATTAACATAATGAGGAGATGGATTACGAGTGGAACGTATACCTTTGCGAAGTGCAATTGGGAGATCAGTCTCAGGGGGCAGGACCGGAAGGGACGAAGGAGTTGGATCCGAAGGAGAGTCTATGGTGATTTCTGCATTAGTTGATGGTAGTGGAGGTGGCCGTGGTCGACGCCGATAAACCTGCAAAGGAGCTAATGGGGGTGGATTGGCTGGCAAAGGAGACAGAACTACGTTTGGTGGGACAGTAGTGGGAGATGAAGAAAACATGGGTGACAGAGACTCAGACCCTGTAGACGTCCCAAAGTAAGGGACTGACTCAAAGAATGTGACATCAGCAGAGACGAAATATCGACGAAGAGACGAGGAGTAACATTTATATCCCTTTTGGGATCTTGCATAGCCTAAGCACACACACTTATGAGAACGACTGAGAGTTTGTCTAGCCCAGGACTAACATTATGGACAAAACATGTAGACCCAACAAAGACTCTAGGCTGTAATGGGTGAAGAGACTGGTGAGGAAATAGAATAGAGTGAGGGATCTGATTGTTGAGGACAGATAATGGCATCATATTTATAAGATAACAAGCCATAAGGACAGCATCACCCCAAAAATATTGAGGAACATTATTTTGAAGTAAGAGTGTCCTTGTGGTTTCAACTAGGTGTCTATTTTTACGTTCAGCGACTCCGTTTTGTTGGAGTGTGTGAGCACAAGACGTTTGATGAAGCATACCGTTAGTAGCCATGAAAGTTTGAAATTGAGTAGATAAATATTCTCGAGCATTGTCACTGTGCAAAGTACTAATGGATATACCAAACTGATTTTTGATTTCATTATAAAATGTTTGAAAAATAGCAAATAACTCCGATTGATTTTCCATTAAAAATAACCAGGTACATCGAGAATAATCATCAATGATGGTAACAAAATACTTAGACCCTAAAGTGGAAACAATGCGACTAGGACCCCAAACATCCGAATGAACTAGAGCAAACGGAGACTTAGAACGACGATTGACACGGCTCAGAAAAGAACTACGAACATATTTTCCTAATTGACAAGACTCACAAGACAACGTAGACAACTTGGAAAGGTTGGGCACCAACTTTTCTAACTTTGCAAGACTTGGATGTCCTAACTGAGCATGAACCAGGAGGGGAGAATCCACCACGGAACCAACATGTGCAGATGGTTGAAGAAGATAAAGACCATTAGACTCACATCTGGTGCCAATCATCCGTCTCGAACTCCGGTCCTGCAAGAAAAAAGAATCTTTGGTGAATGAGATAGTACAATCAAGAGATCGAGTCAAACGACTTAGAGACAATAAGTTAAACGGAGATCCGAGTACGTAAAGAACATTAGTAATGGAGAGCGAAGGAAAAAGGTGGATAGTACCAGTACCCTGAGATTGAATTTGGGAGCCATTTGCTAATGTGACAAAGGATAATAAACCAGAAGTAGAGAATGAAGAAAAAACAGATTTATTATCAATAATGTGATCAGTGGCGCCTGAATCAAGGATCCATGGCCCAAGAGATGTGGAGTGAGAAAGACCAGCAAAAGAATTACCCGTGTGCACAACAGAGGCAGTGGAGCTAGCGGCCTGACGCTCCTCATACCACTTGATAAAGTTGTTGAAGAAAGCAGGTGAGGTGGCAGAATCAGTCGGAGTAGCAGCCTGTGGAGGTGGAGCGGTCTGGACAACGTGGACAGTCCGAGGAGAGGGTCGTCCATGTAAAGCATAACACCGATCAATAGTGTGGCCAAGCTTATGACAATGATCACACTTAAGACGAGGCTTTCCTGTCTTCTGAAAGTGGCCATGATCACCACCCGGAGCACGATTACCTCCTTGAGAAACCAAAGCAGATGATTCAACCGGTATGGATGGGACTCCGCCGTCAGATGATGGTTTTGCTGGGACACGCAGCAAAGTAGACCATGCAGTATCCAGAGTGGGGATTGTAGGAGACCTCAATATCTGATCGCGAACAGACGAATACTCTGGAGGTAGGCCATACAGAGCTAGAAGCACGAAGAAGGATCGACGTTGTTCAAGTTCCTTAGCAGTGGTAGCAGCTGGGGACAATAATTTATTGAAATCATGAAGAAAACCTTAAACACGGTCCAAGTATTCAGCCATAGAACCATCCAGGTGACGAGGAGAAATAATATTCTGCAAATTTTGACACACTCCATATAAGTGTTGTGTATCATTGATATAAAGGATCTTAGCCTGTGCCCAAACAGATTTGCAAGTCTCATGAGAACGAAAGATCTGTTTCAAGGATGGACTAATGGTCGACTTAATGAGACTGCAGAGTTGAGCATCAATTTTCTTCCAACGAGCACTATCAGTGGCAGCCACCGAGTCAGCCTTTGTAGTGAGGTGATCTTCATAGGTCTGTCCCCGGAGCCATAACTTGACGTCGGAAGCCCAAGAATTATAGTTAGTACCGTCCAATTTGTCAACGGCAAGAGGAGTAGTGATATAACTTGTGAAAATAGGGGCCTCAATCCTTGGAGGGGGAACGGCGGCCATGGATTCCAAAAACGGTGAGAGAAGTGACCAAAAAAAAAATGGAAGATCTGAGAAGGAATATCGGAAACCGGAGATGAAGCACGGTTACCGGGAAAAAAAATTGGCGCCGATAGATAGTGGATCTACCGGAAAAGCACGGATTAGGGTTGCCTTTTGTTAGGCTCTAGAAACCATGTTGAATAATGAGAGAACAAGAGGAAGGTTGGATTGAATCTGTGTGTATGAATTACACATCGGAACTCATTATATATAATAGGAGGCATAAATGTCATAGTAATTACATAATATTCTATAATAATTACATAATATTCTATTTCCTATTTACATGATATCCTAATTACTTACAGAATATTCTATTTACATAATATGGAATATTCCGATATCTAACAGTATTTATCCTTTCCGTGAAAAATAAGATTTAAAGAAAGATACAATGCCGACCCAAGTTCCAAGACTATCATGTGGTGAAGATAAATGTGAGATTGCAACAATATCTATGAATTGATTTTTTCTTGATAAATCAGAATAAAGCAAATAATATGTATAAAAAAAGAGGTAATTTATCCAGAAATACAGCTCTTGCCATATTACACAGATGGCATAGCTCACCTGGATCTTGAAGGCATTTCCAACAGCGGAAAGTATAGGACTCCATATGCCTAGGACCCCGTGAGGTCTTTGTCCTGGAGCAGTCTCCAGTGACAACTTCAACCTTACTTCCGATACGTCAATTAGGCTGCAAAATCACAGGGAGTAAAAATTATAGGAAGACCATTGCTGACAATTCCGGAATTATTCTTTGGACAAATATTATACACCTAACAAACAAAAAAGTGCTTAGAACTAAATGGAAATGAATGAAAAGTAGATGTATGTAAAAGATACACAAAATAAATTTATTAAAAGTACAAAGATTACATTTTGGACAAATGTAGATCAACTGCTAAGAGAGATATTGTACAGCCTTTTATAGTATCTAATACAAATACAAAGGTCACATGTTGTAGGACAAATGTAGTGCATGCTTTAAAGTGTCAATACATTAATAGAAGAGACATGCACATATGATATAATTGACAAGCGCAAAGGGAAGTTGATGCTGATGGAGAAAAAAAATCTAGGCAAAAATACAGCCAGTTATAAAATATACTAAATTCTGAACATGAAGAACAACCATATCTTGTATTATTTCTGTTTTTGAAAGAAGAATATTACTCAAAACGTATTTCTGGATCAACTTCTGTGACTGCTGAACTTTTAGGCAAGCGGTTCAACTGTAAATTGTTGTAGAACTCAGCAATAGCCCAGATAATAGGTTCATGAATATCAAGTCTCCAGCACTTTTCTGTTACCTAGAGTGTCCACCAATTTCAAAGGATTATAAAACAATATTATCTAAATATTTGAAACTTATATTACCAAAGTAAGAATATATCAGATCAAATCTTAGCATCAAACTCAATAGAACATACCCGTATATAAACATATGGGTAAACTTGAACTTCATCTTTATTCTCATTCTGCATGGTAATTGTCATCTTGAATACTGGGTGTTGCACATCAGAGGTCTGATCTGGTGCCAAGAGCACAGGCATTAAGGTAAGAGGGAGCTGGTTGTCGAGTTGCAAATAACCAAATATAAGTTTGAACCTGTCAAAATGATGTCTAAAATCAATTTTCTGAAGTATACATGAGTGAGCTTACAAAAGATGAGATAGAAGCAAGCAAAAGTAGTTGCTTCACATGTGATCTCAACAATCCTATATATTGCAGAGGTCAATCTACTTATATTGAATCTGAATTTTCCTCATATATTTCACAATTATTTGTACGAGGATATACATGAGAAACAATGTTTAGATCCTTCAATTTTGGGATCAATAAGTCAAAGTTATCAATGGTGTAACCATGAAAAGCTATTAAGAAATAATGAGAGAAAAAAAAATACTAATTATGATCACAACCAATAAATATATCACACCCGTTCAGCCAAAGACGAACTTTCAAGTGGGTTCTCGTAGGCCTAAATCAAAACCAAAGAGTAATTAGGATTTCAGAGAGGGGATGTGTAAGGGAGTGTGGAGTGAATTGGGGGGGGGGGGGGGGGGGGTGTGTCTTTTATCTTCTGCTTCATGTCATAGCTTAAGGCCCAAGGATTCTCTTCCCTTTGTGTTTTTTTTTCAATTCTACTCAGTCAAATTTACAATATTGTTTTGTTGTCTAGGAACTGTTCCTGTCATTTAAAATATAGACAGATTGACATAAACGAGAGGAACGGCCAGGCAGTTCATTGCAAGACCAAAAGAGAATCCAAAACGTTTATGATGTGTAATCACAAGCCGAGACAGGTATATATGTTATAAAATATGAACCCTAGCAGGTCAGATGGTGTTTGACATTTACTAATACATTTAATAAAAAGTTAGAAAAATTATGAATTTTTCAATGCTATCTAGGAGAGACAATCTAGCACACAAAGGGTGCACTTGAACAAAAATAGTAACAGACAAACTTTTAAGTTATTGGACAACTTTCTATCCTATACAATGTATGGTGGACATGGACAATAAACAATACAAACAAAGTAATATAAAATTTACCATAGAGAAGGAGGAGAGAGCTAAAGGAGAGAGATAAAAGAGAGGATAGAGAGAAGAGAGATAGAGAGAGAGATGAAGGGAGAGATAAGGAAGATAAAGCATCTTTTTACTTATTTGTTTTTTTTAATTAAAATTTAATAAAAACAAATGCCACATGTACTGGGTGTCAATTGGGTGTAAATATATAACCATTCTCAAAGAATCAAACAAACGCGACTGTCATAAAAATACAAAAAAAATTAAACATATTTAAAATGTAAAAATAAATGATGAACGCAATAAGGGGCTGTTACCTGCTTGTCCTTCCACCATCATAGCCAGTTGAATACGTTAAGGACACCCTTTCTAAGTATAAATAGGAGAGCTCCTTTGGTCTGTGGTCCACCAAAGAAATTCCAACTACTCCTAACTCAATTATGAGCTCAAACGGTGTAACACTGTTTTGCATCTCAGCATGAACAGAAGAAACTCCCCATTTTTCAGTTGGTGTTGGGTCTCTAATCTCTTCAAATGAGCTAGAACTGAGCATCTTATCATCTCTGAATTTTGCAACTATTATGTCTCCCACATCGAAAACATGTAATTGCATTCCAAATTCAGCTGAGCACAATCCAGTCTTTTCCAAATCAAGTTTCCAAATTGCATTGCTATCTTCCTCACTAAGTTTAGCATCTAAAAACTTATCGCCGTATGGATCTTCCCAAGAAAAGTTAGTAGATGAGAGAGGTTTCAACGGAATCCAGGAATCTTCACCAAATCCAGACTGTCGAATGCTAAGTGCCTTGTCTGTTGTTCTGTTTTCGATTCTGATACAAGCAATGTTAGCTTCTCTCCCATAAAAACACACTCATGCAAGGATTTCAGTCAGAGATATGGACACACATATGACAAGACATTGATAGAGAAAACTACTACATTAGTGATTTTTTTTGGGGGGGGAGGGATGACAATTGTAGGGTTTTATATATATCTTTGCATTCTTTTACATCTTTATACATTTATCGCTTAAAAGCAAAATATATAGATTGGCACAGTAATGCTACAAATTGATGATTTTGAAAAGGAGGAGATTTTTTTAGTGTAAAGAAAAGGGGTGTATGAATTCTATTTTATTTGTCTCATATATTGTTAATTATGCTTGTCATTTTTAAGACCTTACTTGCATGAAAGGAATTGTTAAGAGATCCACTTTAGTGAAATCTGGTCTGAACATATGCTTATAAGCAGGGATAATTATCACCTCACAAGCAGGTTTAGTAAGGGTTAAATTAGGCCCAACCTAAATACCCAAATTTTAAGATAATATAGAGCATATCCAAGATCCATTGGAACATTTGTTATCAGATTAGCGCTATCGAGCCACTCGAATCACATACCAGATGTCACTTCTTCGGTATGAGAGTGTGTTAAGAGTCTCACATTGAATGAGATATGACCTGAATATGTGTTTACAATTGAAGGTAGTTCTCACACTACAAACCAATTTTATTAGGGTTGAGTTAAGCCTGATCTAAAATTTAAAAGGAGTGATATATTCAAATTATATTCACCAAAGGTGGAATGTTGTGTAATATGATTAACGGAAAAACATTAGGAGATATGACCTCATAGGACATATGTGACAGATTTGATTTGTACAATTTTTATAAATTTGTATTTCTATATATTTGAAATTTAATCAGCCTGCTTGTGAGTAACATTCAGATATGCTCTTTTCAAGAAGTATTAATCACAACGAGTGTTCAAGTATGTGTCCAAAAAAGTGTATTGCTAGCATTTTTCTAATTAGAAGATATAGGACTGGAGTGGTTAGTAAACACATATCAGTACCTGATGGGACCATCAGTTGATCCAAGGCGGAATACCACCACAAACCGGGTTCCTTCTTCATATCCACGGATTTCAGTTCTTAAAAATCTAAGAGTACCATCGTTCATCCTCAAAACAAGAGAAATTGTGTCTTCTCTTAAAATTTGAAAGGGGTATGACCAATTGGCACCTTCTAGTCTCACCTAAAATTACAAATAGTGTATATATCATCAAAACTTAATCAAATGGAGACAAATAATGGCTACACTTATATTGTCATTTGTTTTAATTAACTAAAATACACCTAATGATCACTTAAATTGGACATTTTATGAGATTTCGTTCCACCTTCATTTACAAAAAATTAACATTTATACATTATCAAGTAAAAATAATAGTTCAATTTCAGTAAAGTTTTGGTAATTTAAAATGAAGTAGTTTCACAAATGTGAAACCAAATCAATACAAGGTGCATAGAAGTAGTAACAAAACCTTGGATTCACTTGATGACAAAATTATGAATACAAGCATATCAATATTGACGAAAATAAAATAGCATCATGTAAATAAAGAGAATACCATGTAATTAGGAGTAGGTCTATATATAGTCTCTGTTGTGTAGTTAAGACACTTGTTTTTTAGTCTTATTCAATATGGTATGGAGAGCCTATCAAGAGGAAACCTAAACCATGCCTACTTGGTGGACACATTCACCTTTCAAGTCAGTTTTGTAGAGGTTGAGTTAGAACTAACCCAATTTGTTGTGTCTATAGACAAAGCAGTAGTAACCATAAAAAACTCACGCACGACTGCGAGGTTTGGGGTTCAAACCCGGGTGCCTAATCGACATTTACCAGTTGAGCTACGCCTTACAGACAAAGGAAAACCACATTTTAAGAGTCTTAAGTAAATACTTGAGAGGTTTTCAAATAAGTTAAATATGTAACAAGGTTCATATGATTTATATGCTCCAGTTTGAGGGAGTGTTGAAAATAAAATATGATCGTATACTAGTAAATAAGGAGAACGTTGTATAATTAGGAGTATGGTATCATGTAATCAATCATATGCCTTTATATTTTTCTCTCATTCAACAAATACCTTCTAGACTCTACAAATTTTTATCTAAGTTTATGCAGAATTAGAAAGAAATATTTTGACATAACTTAAATGTTAAGTTTTGACAACAATTTAGATGGTGAGCACTGTTCAAATATGTGGTTAATCACGTCCAGTGGATCGTTTATGAATATAACAAAATGTCACAACGCATTAATCATCAACTGAGCACAATTAACCACAATTCTGAATGTTGTTAACTGCAATTTTCAAGTGTATCTTTGATCAGAAATTAACGTTAATAATTAATACCATATCTATTTGAACACCTGAAAATCAGTTATATTTGAACACAATTTGAATACCTAATGAATATATTTTTGAGCACATGAAAATTGTTAATGACACTCAAAATTGTGATTCTGTTCAGTACAGTGTTAATGCGGTGCTACATGTTATATTCATTTACCACCCACTGTGAATGTGAATGTAATTAACCATAAATTTGAACCGTGTTAACCATACCATGTAAATTGTTGTCAAATTTACGAACCAATATAACACAACTATTAATTAAATGGGACCAATTATTGTAGACATATATCAAATAATTGTAACCAACCTGGAGTTTTTCGGGTCCACCAGCTCCACGACAGACAAAGGACATCCTTGAATCAGAAGCACGCAAAACCTTCGGTTCATCTTCAGTGCTTAACTTGATGAAGATATCTTGACCAACTCTATTTGTGAAAGTCATAAATGGCCGAACAGAAATTATCTGTAAAGACAATCAGAAATACAAGAGTATTACAACATGACAGCTTCAAAACATTTATGCTAAATTTGATCCTCTGCAACAACCTTAGTTGGAACAGACTGAAAGAAGCATGGCTTTGTAGAAATAATCAGCCGCAAGCAATTTCCATCACCATCATATGCATATATATCCAAAGAACCATCCTACCGACAAAGAAAAAAAGTAAACTCTTAGAAGAAACATATGCATCTACTTCTTGATTGTCAACACAAAAACCTTGACATTACCATATCACCAAGTGGAGCAAGACTTTTAACAGGTCCAAACTGCTCAGTTCCTAATTGAGAAATGGCTACTGATAAGGCCAACATATTAAAGTTTAAAGCAGATACAAGTGTGTGGCCATCATAAATTTCCTCTTCAGTTATTTCTTCAAGGACAGATCCATTTTTTTTTTGCATTCTTCTTTTTGCTGATGTTTCAAGAATCCTAAATGTAAGTGGAGGACATCTAGCTACTCCTAACCAATAAGGAGCATAGACTCTAATTGTTTTCGCCAGGAAAACGCACTCCTTGTCATAGTTCTGTTCGAGAATAATTTGGATAACCCTGTACATAAGAAATCATATAAGATGAGTTTGGAGAACTAACCTATCCCTCAAAAGTAGAATCAGTAGATGCTACTAACAAGTTAATCAAAACTAATAGAATTTCGAAAAGATATATTAAATTGGAAAAATTGAACTGTCCCACATTTAGAACTTTACAACCTTCCAGATATTGAACTTCTCAAACTAATTGTTTTTGATGGATTCCCATTAGGATGAGATATAAGAGCAGCTTCCTGTCCAGACAAAAGGACAGGAGATATTAATGGCGTAACAGCACAAAAGCATGATAAAGTATTTGACACAAACAAACGCATTGATAGGTCTTACATGTACGGGAAGCCAACCCCTTTGTGGAAGCAAGGATAAGAACAAAGGTTTCCTAATATCAGCACTGTATATTTGCACCGTTTTTCCAGATAAAAATACACTTCTTGAACATGTAAGAAAATGACCACTTGGTTGCATTTCAAGAACTGAATATTCAGCAGCAAGGGGAAGAAAATTGCTAATCGTTAGCGGGGATTTGACCACCAAACACCAATCCTGAATAGCATCAGAATGCATGTCTTTAGCAATCTCAGTTGCTTGTATGCTTACACAGAACCAGAACTTGTGGGAACCACCTGAGGTTCCATGCATCTCAGTGCAGCACAATAGTTCCTCTGACTCTGAAAGAGCTGAAACACACAGATTTGAGCATTGCTCCCTAATGCCAACATCCTCTGATAGCCTAGGTCTGTCCATTACAGTACTCCAAGAGTACTCTAACAGTGTTTCTGATGAGCCGGGCCTTAATTGCAAGAAATATTGTATAGACTGTGTCAAGCAAGATAAAGGAAGCGGAGCAGCTTCTCCTGGTTGGAGTAGCCCAACCGATATTTCATGCTTAAGATCGTCTGCTATCAGCTTCCTGTTTCTTAGCCATTTCCCCTGCCTAGCAGAATTAGAAGAATTCTTTGGATCAAAAGATTCCGGCCATCTCAAACTCTCAATATCAGGAGCATAAATCCAACCATCAGAAGTATTCGTAGACTTTCTATCCAAATGCCAATCATCAACCCATTCCCAACCTGGCGGTAGATCAATTTCAGGAAAATCCTGTATTATAGAATAACTTATTTATTAGGTCAGAATAATAAATAACAAATTAGAAACAAAGAGGATAACAAGTCCTACAAAAAAGGCGTCATCTCAAACCCCCCCGAGTCAGAGGGGGTACATGATAGATGTTTAGTGTAATGTTGCATCTCTGTTTCCTTGTATAATCACAACTAGCTAGTTAAGTGATAAACAGTTATGCCAACTGTTACTAGTTAGTTAGATCTGTTACAATTTCTGTCAATTGTAACAGTATACATAGCTCGTCATAGAGGCAATGTAGCTTATAAACAGTCATTCTCACAGATCATTGCATCATAATCATAGGAATAGACACAAATTTTCTTTCTAAGAATTGTATTGATTTCCTTTACATTTTTTCATTTTCTCACAATTCCCTAACACTATCATGACATCTAGTGCCTAACTTTCCAGGATGGTTTCCGACTCCTATATTGAAGTTCCAGATGGAGCTGATGTAAGATTTGGAAAGAATCTGGTTTATTCAAGAAAAATAAAGGCCTTTCCAGAATCTGTCCCTATCCAAGAATCCAATCGAGGTAGTGGAAGGCATTTATCACTTACCTGATGGGATTTTCCCTTGTCTGAGATATGCTGCTCAGGAGAATCTGACCAACGAACCCAACCATTGTGTGCAGTTAACTTTTGTATCTCATAAAACTCATCTGTCTGAATTTTGTAGCTCTCTGTTACACTGGATTCAGAATCACTTGAATTTTTCAGCAAATTCATTTTTTCAGATGGAATTTTTGAAGTGAGACGCAAATCGAGAACAAAGTCTGTGCTGTTACGAACAGAGACCAGAGATCGAATATTGACATATCTATTACCATCCTTTACACTAGCTTCACTGGCAACAACAGCATTACCCAACCTCCAGCAAGCAGCAGGGGCAGCATAATTTAGCCTTACAGTAGTCCAAGGACCTTCCTTGCTAGGACTAATTTGAATAAACCCAGATTTATGGACATCATAGTTAGACTGTTGGTTGCTATTCTGGGCTTCAGAACTATGCATTAGTATAGCACAACGTAATTTGCGAGTCTTCTTCTGATGAGCATCCTGAAATCTCAGCATGAAATCATTAACATTAGTGCCGATAAAAAACAATGTGAACAAAAACTGGTAAATCATAGACTACATTCACCATGGACAGTGAATCGTCAGCAGACAAATCTATCCAGTTCAGCTTATAGGAAAATTTTTGGGAATATGAGGAATCCTCAATAGTTTTTGCTATCTCACTCAAGGAGGCTGAGAAAAACCCAATTGGAACTCCTACAAAAATGAGAAAAAACTTTTTAGTAAAGATTGCCCAACTTACCTTCTTCAATGTACCAAAGAAACATACACGAGTAATTAGTAACTTTATGGTGGACATCTAAATTCTAAATGATATTAATTTTTTTTCCGCTTTATTTGTAAGCATTCAATGTTACATAGCTGGATTGAGTTTTGTAGAAAAAGGTTCTAATTTATTTCAATAATGTTTTTTCATAACACAATAGCTGATTTGTTTAAATAGAGCAAATTGCTCAACGGGCCACATACTAGTATACTATATAAAAATAGAGAAAAAGAAATATACACCGACAGTGTAAAATATTTTTATACTGTCAACCAATGAGAGACATGTATCCAATAAAATCCCACTTTTATTTCTAAAAAACTAATATGACATAGCAAGTTTAAAGATTTTGATTGGTTGTATGTGTAATATTGATTTACACTGTCTGTACACTACCTTTAAACTCATATTAATAACTATAACTATTACTAGTAACAGTCTATTATTTACAGCAAATCTCATGGAAGTACCTTCACTCATATCTGTCACAATCAATTCCAAAGTATAGTAATCCTGCAATATAAGTACAGGCCAACATTGAAGTTAGTTTTACAGATGGAAACCATTGATTGGAAAACGAAAAATGGAGATAAGAACAGAAACAATAAAATGTATGCAAGAGAATCAGGTGATTCTGATATTATTCTCCCTATTCTTATTTTAATTAGCCATTTGATTTTTACTCATTTTTAGTCCATTTAAAGTCCTGATTAATGGAACAAGTGTATTATACTTTCTACAATATAAACAGTCCAAGACTGCAGTAGTAAACATTGAAGTATTATCCCCATTACTTCTATGTGGCACTATTAGCGGTTTTACGATCTAGAGATTCCAATTCGTCCTTCCTCATGCAACAAACAATATACTCCCTCTGTCTCATAATAAGTGTCTCATTTGAATTATGCGCGGTTCTTAAGAAAATGATTAGATGTGTTGATTTTAATGATAAAATTAATATTATTTATTAAAACACTCTTATTTTATAGTTAGTAGAGTAGTTGAAAAGCGTGAAAGCTAATAAATAAGGGTATAGTAGTATAAAAAAATAATAAATATTGAATATGTATTCTAAAGAGACGTTTATTTTGAGAAATAAAAAAATTGTAAATGAGACACTTATTATGAAACAGAGGGAGTAACTTGCAACGACACACAGGGTGTGGTTAGTCTTTTGTATCGATAGTATCAAACTATATGAGTATAGAAGAGTTAGTTAGTGACAGCTGTTTATTGAAATAGACAGCTATATAGAAGAGAGTCAGTTAGTGAGAGCTGTCCATTGTTAGTTCAGGATAAGAGAAAGATATAAAAGCTTCTCTTCACTTAATTGTAGCACAACATAGATTCACAATAATAGAACCAATTTATTTTTTTGTCTTCCCTCAATTAAAACATACAAATTACGCCTTCAACATTGGTTCCAACCAAATTGCAGAATATCAACCGAAAGTCCTTAAACTTTATCAGTGATACTTTAATTCTAATATCTTAAAATTTATTCGTGTAAACAGAGCCAAATGTTCATTGGAAAATATTTTATTTTCTTATTTCCGTTTATTTTCCTTTATTCTCTATTAAAGAGAGAATTAATTATCATTATTGTATTACCGGTCTATAAATCAACCTAGTGCTGAGAAATTGAATTACAACAACTTTTTAGTATTTCTTTCAATATGGTATCAAGAGCACTAGGTTAAGGTTCGGGATCCGCTTTTTTACCAGACCCGTTTCACATACCCGTTTAACCCCCTATGGCAAATCACAACAACAGGTGGCTTGCCTCGGCACAGGCCTACGCCGGATCCAACAATGGCGAACAACCACAACCCGAGTCGGGTGGCGGCCGCGGAAATGGCGGTGGCAGCAGTGATAGCGGTGGCCATGTGGCAGCGGTGGTCGCAATAATGGCGGTGGTGGAGGAAACGGCAGGGGTCGAGAAAATGGTATAGTAGAGGAATCGTCGGTGGTCACAAACAATGACAGTTGTTTCAATATAGACGGCAATGACCAAGAGGGTTCCTCATTACTCCCTCAAGGTCAATATTCTTAAGATGAATGAGAATAATTATAATGAATGGGTTCAAACCGTTAGATTGGTATTTAATAGCAAATGGAAGCTTGGTATTATAACACAAATAGTAGCTGAACCGACAGAAGGAGAGCCTCTTTACAAACAGTGGAGATCTGAAAACTCCTTGAATATTGCGTGGTTGGTAAGCTCTATTGAAACTGGAATAGGTAAGTCTTACATGTTTTTGCCTTCTGCTAAGGATGTATGAGAAGCTGTTAAGGAAACATACTATGATAATCAAAGCTCCTCACAAATTTTTGGTTCAAAATCAAAATTATGGCATGCAGGGGACAAGAATGTTACTGCTTATTACAATGAGTTGTTGACCCTGTAGTAAGAGTTGGATCTATGTTATGATGACAATTAGAGGTGTACAGAAGATATCTCCAATGCCCACTACAGTTACAAAAGTATCATCTGCAGTAGGAATCTTTTTATTACTGGAACAAGGGAAATATGAGGAGAATTATTTCGAAGAGGGTGTCATGTGGTCTGTGGCTCCTAAATCTAATATCCAAAATAAACAAGGTGTTTCTGAGACGTGAAATTCAAATGAGAGTGGAAACTTATCAGAATACGCTACACTACAATTATCTGATGACTTTTCCATACTATTGATCATAAAGGAGCAACAACAAAATATTTATGTATAAGATACCACAGAAAATAAGATTTGATGAAGAAATCAACCCAGAAAATATAGGAACAGTGGCTGGAATTGTGCGGAAAGCGGCTGAAACAGCGCTGAAACTGTGCAGACAGCGGCTGAAAGATGTGTAGAGCGGTACCGACGGCTGCAGAAAACTGTATGGACAGCTACCGGAAAAGAATAGATAGCGTTTAATTGGAAAAACTTGACAGCAAGCATTGCTCAGTCAAGATTGAAGTGTTCTGACAGCATAAAAATGCTCAGTCAGATTTCTAAAGAATGATTAGCTGAAGTAGAGTCCCCTAAATTAGGAGCTCTGATGCCATATGAAAAATAGAAATAAGAAATTTTCTGAATATGCTCGAGTGAGTAAAGCACTCAGCAACCTTGATATTTATACACACTATATAATTAATTACATATTTTGTTTACAAAGAGAAATAAATAATAGTCCAACTCCCTAAATGCATGAATCTAAATATACATGAACCTAACACTTAAATGTTCATTTTAGTGGGAAACATACAATTTATTTTTCTATTTCCAACAATTTTCCTTTATTCTCCATTAAGGAGAGAATTAATTATCATTATTGTATTACCACTATATAAATCAGCCTAGAGCCGAGGAATAGAATTACAACAGCTTTTTACCATTCTTTTCAATAAATATCAAAATAATCTATTCCAAATAGCTTTGGCCATTGGTAAATGAAAGCATAAATGACAGTAATCTCCAAACATTATTTGACCTTGAGAAAGAGTAAATGAAAACAAACAAAATCATCAAGTACCAGTGAATCAACTTTGAAGAAAAATATTTCATTCCACTGGACTAACTCGAGATCAGAAGGAAACGATTGATTTGCCCTTCTTCCACATGTGCGCGCACTCTGTTGATGAACCAATGCATCATTAGGGAGACTTGGATTAGGAGAAAGCCGGACAGCCACCGCATATTGCTGAGAATCTGAGCCTCCAACTTGAGGAAACTGCATAAGAAATATGAAAATTTCGTAGGCAATTGCATAGAGTATTGAAGCATTGATAGGGTTAGTAAATCTGAACACTGAGACTGCCAAAATCAAATATAAATTGTAAGCCACAGGAGAACAAAACAATACCTGTGCTTCTGCTATGATGATCGTCACCATTGTTCTTACTTTCCTACAAAGTTCACCCCTCAAATGAGATTCTAGCATATCTTTGGACACAGGTACTTTCACGGCCTTCATATCCCCAGATGGCATCATAATTATATTTTGCAGTCCACTGGCTTCCGTAGCACGTATAAATATATCCTGACCAAGTTTGTTTTGTGGGATTATATAATAATTTCTCTTGTGGATAGCGTCACTTGTAGAGTTACCACCATATTTTGGAGAAAATGCATCCTATTAGATATCACCAACCACCATAAAAAAAAAAAGGTAAGCAGATAATCATGTTAACACAAGGTAAAAAAAAGTATTAAACAAACTATAATGACAGAATTCAATGCAGCTTAAATGAGAGGGTAAAGAAAATTTACTCGATTTTGATAACCTTCATGAACATTGCTAAGGTTGTTCCAGCTTGCATAAGCTTGAATGATCATATTAACATTAGAAACTGAAACATTTAAATTCAGATCTCGAGTTGATGTCAGACGTAATTGAGAAGCGGCACCTGGGGCGTTGAGATCATATTGGTACCTAAGAGTAGTTGTAATTAAAAACTACAAATGAGAAATATAATTTTTAAACAAGCAAGCTAGCACAACATTTAAAAATTAAAAATTGCTCTGAAGTTATAAAAATGATAATATTCTTGTAGATTTCTAATTGGGAGGGGAGTAATTTGTGAGAGGTAAAATCCCTTATCGGAATCTGGTATGTTATTATAACAAAGAAGGAAGAACTCCGGCAATTGTAGATAAAGATATTGCAGAACTTCAAAGGTTTGCTCTTAACTCACACACTTGAGAACAGGATACTTCTCTTTCCCTACTGTTATTTATATACTATTAATCGTAAATATCAACTATACTTTTTACTAATTACACTAATATTTATTTTCAAGCAATGAATACCAGCAGCAGGTTTTATGCTGCTATGTAATGTACATCAGAGATCACATCCTCTTTTTTTAATGTTTTTCTTGCTTCTCAATATCTGATGTTCAACCAACTGGATTTAACTTGACCGGGTTCATAGAAACTTAAAAGCGAGTCAAGTGCTACCCCCATTGCAGGATCTTATTTTAATTTTGATCTACCACTTACTCATGATTACCTAGGATCTATACTCTCATAAGTTTTCTTATTTGCTATGCAAGGTAGAGTTGTTTCCACCTTTGGACTTTCCCAATCACCACAATAGTGCAAATCTTTCAAACTTAAAGGTTCAGCTTCACTACCCCAATCAACAATTTTAAATAACTGCCAGTACTCACTGCTTCAATATTCCCACATCTTAATGGCACAAAATGATAGACTGGCCCAAAACCCTTTTCTAATCCACATCTTACTGCTTCAATAATCACAGTAGTGTAAATCTTTCAAACTTACAGGTCAACCTTCACTACTTCAAACACATTTTTCAAACTCAATTCCAATTTCATCAACCAAAGCAAACCACTGTTTGCAACAACAAAAACTCCCAATCAAACACTTGAAGATTTTATAAAAGGCAACATGTAACAGGTGAATTCTATTATTTGTTAACAGAAAACAATTACCTTAAGAAGCCATCTACAGGCTCAACCAGGGGCTCCCAGGCTTCATACTTATCATTGTATGATCTGGCAGCCAAGGAGAAACCGACAGTGCAATTCTGATACCCAGTTCGCCCATGCAAATTAAATGTTATTCCACTCAAAGATATATTGAACAAAGGAACCATCTGTAAATTTAACAAAAAAAATACATTCAGTACAAAAGTACAAATGATCATACCAATTAGATTTCATTATAAGAATACTAGAAATCAATGAGTAGTCAAGGATCACAGATCAATAAATAGGGTATAGCCAAGGATTTTATGTATCCCATGGTCTAAAACTCAGAAGAATACGAAAGGACAGAATAAGCAGAACTAGCATAGAAAGAGGAGCCCATCTTGGAGACCAATCTTTTGATTTTCCTTTCAGTGAAATATATTTATTAGAATGAGTAAACAGACATCGTTCCAACACATATAACTCACATACAGCTTCTTATTTAAAGTCTAAAACAAAGGGGATTATTAATACATGTGAATCATCTAGCAGTTTAGAAAGTTCAACGCAAGACTGACTCCTAAATTGAAAAATGAAAGCCTAAACTCGATATACGTCAAAACCAAGCCTCAAAAATTTAATCTGTAAGGCAAAAGTTGAACGATTTTAGATTTAACAAACACACTCATGCAAGAGATCTTATGACTTGAAAGGCACGAAATCCTGCTATCATAATACTGAAAGCCAATTTTTTTATGTAGGAGAATGGAGACATAAGGATCAGTTTCTAGGCCACCTAGTCATAATGTCAAATAGGCTTTAATAATGTTAAGAACAAGCTCTTCCAAAAGCTTACATAGTTGTCCATGGAATGTTTTACATTTACTTTTTGAGAATGACAGTGATCATAGCAAAATAAAAACAAGAAATAACAGCAATGCCCTACTTGAAGGCCAAAAGAGCCCAATAAAAACACTTGTTAATTACGGTTAAACTAAACATTATGTTAGCCATGAAAATCTATGCCCTAGACATGCACCATTTTCATTATATTTAATGCAAAGCTTATGAAACAAAGTGGCATTTTACAAGCTTACGTGCCTAGGTGACTGGGCATTCAGCTATTATTATCTGAAAAGCTACAAATTGAGTGTTTCATTCTCACCAAACCACTGTAGTCATCAAAAAGAGCAATTGAGAAGGTTCCAATTCCAGCATCAATGATTGTCGCATCTGAACCACTTGGCATGCTAAAATCTGCTAGCTTCAAAGCAAATCTTCTTGGGGGTCTTTTGAAACCACCACGGACAATAAAAGTCCCCAACTCATTGCCAACAGTCCATATGCTAAATGGCTCTTTTATATGCTTTGCATCTGACGTATCCCACACACTTTCTTCAAGAAACTTATCTCCAGCAACCAAATCACTGCGCATGCATCTTAATGTGCTAAACTCATTTTGCTTAGGTTTCCCTTTACAAGCAACACAGCCCAAGGAAACAAAACCAGGAGGAGCTTGGGGAAGCCAGAATGACATACTTTCCATTCCCCTCTGCTTTTTAATTTGTCCAACAAGTAGAAAATCTAGGGGAGTTTTAAAAATATTTTCATCTCTAGAATCATGAAGAACAAGGCAGGTATTAGGAGGCTCATACCTAAACAACAGACGAATGGATCAGTTTCATGTTAATTATAAAAACAAGATAAAAACTTCAAGCCACATTTTACAATAAAAAGAATCAGAACACATAAGTGTAAAACACACCCTTTAACAGCTATATCTCCAAAATATATCATTCCCATTGGGACAATTGGACGCCATATGGATAACCTCTTTCTTGAATTTGATCCCTGATTCCACCATATTAACTGAAAGCTTGCAACAGGCTCTGAACGTCTGTTAGAATTTGCAACAGCAGACTGGTCATATTGCAAGGTTTGTTGTCCACCAGGATGAGTGTGAGAATCCAAACTATTTAATGCCTCTGAAGATGCCTTCAGAGAACCATACTTAATGCAACGCAATTCGTAAGCTTTACTCATCAAACTATGTGTAGTAGGATCAACTGGCAAGAAAGTGCCAAAAGAATTATCCACTCGCCAAAATGCCACACTGGATGAGGATCTGCAATAAAGACAAACAATTTTTTTCAATAGGCAAAACATGATCTTGTATCTAATCAAGAGTTAAAATAAATTTGTATGTAAGCTACCCAACTTAAAATCCATGACTACTAGATTCCTTCGTATCTGATTCAAATCTTGGCATATGTTGAATATGTGATTTTGGGTGTCTTAATCAGACTACACTCACCTCTATTTATAATAGCATGTAGAAATAAATACTACTGTAATTGATATTATTAGCTAATAATTAATATTTGGATTTGGTTCTTTTATTCTAAGTTCTAACACTCCCCTTTCTAATGCTTACAAAGCTTTTAGCTTATTACAATGGGTGGATGTATTATAGAGAAAATAAAAACTTCACCTAAAAAGTTGTAGAGCTGCCAGAGGTGATTGTAGCAAAGGCAGTTGTGCTTGTTGGATGTTTCCGAAGGTAGCTATGGGGGTTTTGGGGAATGAGTCTCACGGAAGAATCAGCAACCGTAACTGGTTCAATCACAGTTGGGTGCAGAGAGAAAAACACCAATGGAAAAGAAAATAATTGGACAGAAATACCGATCAATTAAGTAAATCATAGCGGAAGAAATTTTGAGCTCGCAAGGTGGATGACACACGGAGAACTATCAGCTCGTGGCTGCTGCTCCGGTGACAGCGTAGATCAGGTGGCAGGACTGGCAACAAAAGTATGACCGGTCACAATGGTGTCGGCCGTGAATGATGATACAGGCCGAATAAGGGTCCACCGAAGAAAAGATATGCCATCACAAAAAGCAAGAAAAGGGTCGCCGAAAAGAGATGTGGATCGTGGAAAATTACGAAAGCTTGACAGAAAACCTTTTCCGTAACTGCTACGGTTCACTAGCTAAATGATCAGAATTTGGTATGATTCTGTTAAGAATCCCACATCAAACAATACATGGCATGAACATATGTTTATAAGTGAGGGTAAGTCAGTTTTGTAGGATTGAGTTAGCCCTAACCACACATTCTTAGATGGTATATGAACCTAGTTTAAGATTCGTTGGGCCACTTGCTATCAGGTTTCTGTTATCGGGCCACCAACCTTTATATCCACACAACAAACCCAATAGTGATGCGTGTGAGAGGGTGCGTTGAGTTCCACACCAAACAATATGTGATCTGAACATATGTTTATAATGGGGGCTATCCCTAACTTACAAGCCTCTTGTAGGGTTGAGTTAAGCCTAATCACACATTCTAAGAGATACCAAGTTGAATTTGTGATTCTAAGTGTTTAAATCAAACTACACTCACCTAAATTTCAATTTATAATAGCATGTAGAATAAGTACAAAAAATACTAATTGATATTACTTGCTAATTCTGATCCTAATAATAAACTCAAATTCTAATAATAAATTATAAATATTTAGATTTGATTCTTTGATTCTAACAGCATGTAATTTAAACAGTCAGCAAATTGATCACATACAAGTCATTATGAAATTTACGAGTAGAGATCTTATATACTCCACTTGTAGAGAAATGGAGAGAATCTGAACTCTAAATTTATACTTTGCAGAAGAAGACAACATACAAGCCATTACCAAATTTATAAATTGTCAACAGGACATACATGTTAAACAGGAGACAACGTTAAAATTTCCACTTACATATTAGTCATGCCAATTATGATACAATCCCTTAATGAACATGGAGATACAGAAGAAGAAGGAATGCAAAGAGCAGAAGATAGAGGAGGAGGCGTCCTTCCTTGAGTAACTAAACAGCCTAGTGCCACATAACCTTTGGGAGCTTCAGGGAACCAAATATAACAGCTACCATCTGCCTCAGTTTCCCCTGATAAATCAGAAATGTCCATTTCTTCACCTGTATTGCCCGAAGAAACTAAAGGTGGCCAAACCAATCTGAAACTAATGGGTCTCTTAACTGTAATAGAATTGGTATTTACTGCAAGAACTCCTTTCGTAGGTGGTTTGTCTCTGTAGATCAAATACGTCATATTAATGTATAAGTCTGTTGGTAATTAAAGCATCCATCTATATAAAATAAAAAAATTAATTAAGAAATTTTACTGACAGTGGTGTCAGGTAGTCACCAAGTACAGCAAAACCAGGAGGAGCGTGGGGTCTCCAAATGGCAAAAATTTGATCATTATAAGGATCTGCATGGTGCAAATAATATGACTCGTGTCAAACACAATTGCCAATATATTTACCCAATTATAAACAAAATAGAGAATATCAACATACTTTCTATGACTCCAACTTTGTCAAAGTGAGAACAAACAATAGTCATTTTCTTCGATGTCATCCTCAAAAATGATAGAATATCATCTTCCACTGCTAGAAATAGTCTCAAGATACTGAACGTGAAATTCATGAATATATCAGAAACAGATAAATGTATATTGGTCTTCCCAGAAGCATTCGAGTACTTCAAAGATGTATCAAATGGCTCCAGAATCCTGATTCCATTACTCTCCATAGCCAAACCAAGTACATCTGCACTCATCTCAGTATTGTTACCCTTCAAAACAAGCCTGGTAATGGAAAATCACATCAAATGTCAGTCATTCCGCCATTATTAAGTTCCTCAAAGAAAATAACTGAAAAAAGGATATGTATAATTTTTATTAAGAGCCTGATAATTGTTTTATGATATAAGCAGGAATTACATTTTTTTTAAGTAGAAAGTTAAAGTAAAGCAAAAGATGAAGGCAGAAACATCCCAACAAAGTTGGCACCCCTACCCCCGCTTTCAAATTGCTAAGCTCTACCAAATACTATTGATGTAAAAATAAAAAAGTATTGTATGAAAGAGGTTTGCTACTTGAGCATACATAAACTGTATCAACAGAACGAGGATATAATATCATTTGGTCCAACATACACTTTTGATTTAGCTATCTGTTTCACTATAATTGACAGAAAAATAGACATAGCCCACAAAATCTGAAGGGGATTAATTACTTGTTCTAGGCCCAAAAGGTCCAATATGTAGAAAGTCTATTCTAGGAAGACAAGATCCCTTTTGCCAATGTGGCAGTTAGGTAAGAGCTGAGGATTCCGTTAGGAGGGAGCTGGATTTATAGCAGAAGAAGGGACGGAAAGTAGGCATGCATGTTATTTGTGAATTTTGAAGAGGCAATTCTATTATTGACAAAAAATTGTTTGCCTCTTGTGTTCTTTTAGAATAACTGTAGGATACTGTAAATACTTCTAACAGTAACATAATATTTGTTGACTTGATATAAAACATTAATTGTTAGCTCCTATATTCACCAAATAAACATAAATGATAGCCCCTATTTCTAGGGATACAAATTTGTTATGTCCCTTTGTCTTGGATCGTGTTGACACAGTCCTAGACGTGGTGGATATTAGAACAAGATTAGTTCTGATCTATTTCAGAGTTTTGATGATAACAATAAATTATATTTTAGATAATTTATACTCTGATGAACGTATTTGAATGTTTCAGATAATGTTCTGACAGAAACATTCTGAAGTGCTAAGCTAAAAATTATGAAGAAGTTCTTTTATGAAAAAACCTTTTTGTTTTAAGTGCATCTGCTGACTCTGATAAGACAATTTATTTAAATATATCTTCTAACATTTAGCAGGTTTCCTTGCTCAGAAAATTACTTGAAAGCAAGCGCTGATCAAGTTCTTAGCAAGCAAAGCACTGCCTAGAAGATGAGTAAAGCATGTTCTGAATACAAGATGTTGAAGCAAGTTCTGAATGAACGTTAAAGCCAACCTGTCTTGTCAAGCGAAGGAAACATGGTCTTACAAGTTGTCGTTTGCTCATTAATACAAAGACGGCTGCAAGCACTCAAGTGTCTAAGCTAGTTTCTTGAAAAATGGAATAGTGCAAAGAAACACGCAAGCATTTAATGTTCTCCACTTTTCTGAAGGCAGCAACGGTCATTTTGTTCTTACTATATATAGAAGGACATTTATTGCAAGTCAACTAACCAATCAATTTCAAAAAAAGAAGCAAGAAACTACGTGAAAAATTCTGGGCTTACAAACTCTTTGTTCATACACTTTGTGCAATTTATTCTAAGTGAAAAATCACAGTTGTGATATAGCTTGTTTAGAAGCAAATTTTATTTCACTATCTGTAAAGATTAAACTCTTGTAATTGTTCCTTGAGAGATCAAGTTTGGTTAGATTTCTCAAGCAGACTAGGACTAGATTTAAGTCTTAGTGGTGTTAGTCACTTGTAAGATTACTTGTGCATTGTTAGTCACAACAGTTGTTGTGTATTTGTAATCAATTGATTATAGTGGATTAAGTTCTTGTTGAGAAAGGCGAAATCACCTTGACGGGTGGACTGAAGTAGTTTGAGTTCAAACGAACTAGGATAAAAATAACCTTGTCCTTCCATAATTGTTGAGCTTTGTTTTGAAAAGAAAAAAAATCACTTATTCAACCCCCCTTCTAAGTGTTTTCTTACCCCTTCAATTGGTATCAGAGCTTGACTCTGAGCACAACACTTAACCGTGTCAGGAAAAGATCCAAAAGAAAACACAATGGCTGCTGAACAAAACAACAATAGTTACAACAAACCTCCTGTTTTTTATGGAGAAGATTTTGAGTACTGGAAAGACAGACTAGAAAGTTTCTTTCTAGGTCATGATAGTGATCTATGGGATATAGTCATGGATGGTTACACACATCCTACTGACTCAGAAGGAAACAAAGTTGACAGAAAAAATATGGATAGACTACAAAAAGCTGAATTTAAAAATCATCATAGAGCTAGAAATATTTTTCTAAATGCTATCTCTAAAGTAGAATATGAAAAAATCACTAATAGAGATACAGCGCATGATATGTTTGAGTCTCTTAAAATGACTCATGAAGGAAACCGTCAAGTTAAGGAGTCTAAAGCTCTGGCTTTAGTTCAGAAGTATGAAGCCTTCAAAGTTGAAGAAAGTGAGTCTATAGAAGCAATGTTCTCTAGGTTTCAAACTCTGATCGCTGATCTGAGAGTTTTGAACAAGGGATATACCAAAGCAGATCATGTGAAAAAGATCATCAGAAGCTTACCCAGAAGATGGGCACCAATGGTCATTGCTTTCAAAGTTTCAAAAGATCTAAACAACGTGTCTCTGGAGGAACTCATCAGCGCTCTCAGAAGTCATGAGATTGAATTGGATGAGCACGAGGCTCAGAAGAAAGGTAAGTCTCTTGCCCTTAAATCAATTAAGAAATTTGATACTAACTCTTTTCAGGCTGAAGAGGAAAACTCTGAAGAATCAGCGTCAGAAGAAGATGAACTATCCTTGCCCTCCAGAAGGATCAATCATCTGTGGAAGCACAGACAAAAGAAGTTCAGGAACTTCAAGAAGTCAGAAGATAAACCTGAATCTTCTGGACACAAAAAGTCAAATAGAAGAGAGATCATCTGTTATGAATGCAAAGAACCTGGTCACTACAAAAGTGATTGTCCAAAACTTCAAAAAGAAAAACCAAAGAAGAGGTTTGGTAAGAAGAAATGGCTGATGGCAACCTGGGATGACTCAGATTCTTCTGAAGATGAATCTGATTCTGAAGATGAAAATGCCAACCTAACTCTGATGGCTATCACAGCAGATGACTCAGACTGTGAGTCAGAACAAAGAGAGGTATTTTCTGAATTCACTAGAAATGAACTTGCTGATAGTTTATCAGAACTTCTGGAAAACTATAGTAAACTCAAAATCAAATACAAGAAACTCAAGAAGAGTCTTGCATCTGATATTGAGAAACATGAAGCAGAAAAATCTGAACTCTTGGAAAATAATTTTAAACTTAAAGAAAAAATTCAAAACGTTCAAAAAATTTCTAGTTCAGAATCTGTGTCTAGTTCAAAAGATATTCTGAAAGAATATGACTATAGTTTTCAAACTTTCCTAGCTAAAAGCATAGATAGAAACAAAATGGCTTCAATGATCTATGGAATTAGTGGAAAAAACAGAAGAGAAATTGGATATGAACCTCCCAAAGGAAAGGAGACATACATACCAAAACCTGTTGCTAAAATGACTTTCACATTCTGGAAACTCTTATGCTAACCCAAAAGAACCCAAAAAGATATGGGTACCTAAGGATAAAATAATATTTATTGCAGATGTCATTAACAGCTCAATTGAGACACCTGTCATGGTACCTGGACTCTGGGTGCTCACAACACATGACGGGTATGTTCCAAAGCCTGGAACTTAAAGCTGGAGGAGACGTGAAGTTTGGAGGTAATCAGAAAGGGAAGATTATTGATTCTGGAACCATTGGAAAAGGTAACCTTCCTTCTATCTCTAATGTTTTATTAGTAGAAGGATTAGCTCATAATCTATTGTCCATAAGTCAATTAAGTGACAATGGTTATGACATTATCTTCAATCAAAACTCCTGTAGAGCTGTAAGTCAAAAAGATGGATCAATCCTCTTTTCTGACAAGAGAAAGAACAACATTTACAAAATTGATTTATCAGATCTTAAATCTCAGAACGTTAATATCTTTTGTCTATTAGCGATGAGCAATGGGTATGGCACAGAAGATTGGGACATGTCAGTCTTAGAAAAATCTCTCAACTAAATAAATTAAATTTAGTCAAAGGACTTCCCAATCTGAAATACAACTCAGAAGCTCTGTGCGAAGCATGTCAAAAAGGAAAATTTTCAAAACCTTCCTTTAAATCCAAAAATGTTGTCTCTTCCTCTAAGCCATTAGAATTACTTCATATTGATTTGTTTGGGCCAGTTATAACTGCGTCTATCAGAGACAAGAAGTATGGATTGATCATTTTTGATGACTTCAGTAGATGGACATGGGTAAAGTTTTTAAAACACAAGGATGAGTCACATTCTGTGTTCATTGACTTCTGTACTCAAGTGCAAAATGAAAAAGATTTTAAAATCATAAAAGTCAGAAGTGATCATGGTGGTGAATTTGAAAATCATTATTTTAAAAAATATTTTAAAGAAAATGGTATTGTTCATAACTTTTCTTGTCCTAGAACTCCTCAGTAAAATAGAGTTGTAGAAAGAAAGAATAGAACTTTACAAGAAATGGCCAGAACCATGATCAATGAAACTAATATGGCAAAGCACTTTTGGGCAGAAGCTGTGAACACAGCGTGTTACATTCAGAATAGAATCTCTATAAGACCTATTCTTGAAAAGACTCCCTATGAATTGTGGAAAAACAGAAAGCCCAACATTTCTTATTTCCATCCTTTTAGATGTACTTGTTTTATTCTGAACACTAAAGAAACTCTGAACAAGTTTGATTCTAAAGCACAAAAGTGTTTTCTGCTTGGATATTCTGAACGTTCAAAAGGCTATAGAGTATACAACACAGAAACTCTGATTGTTGAATAATCAATCAAAGTCAGGTTTGATGATAAGCTTGGCCAGCAACAGTCAAAGCAAATTGCTTTTTCTGTAGGTACAGAAGATCATCCCTCAAACTCTGAATTTTCAGAAGCAAAGAAAGACTCAGTAGCAAAGGAAGACTCAGCAGATCATCCTCTTGACGATGCTCTGGACA